TTGACTAAAATAAACCACAATTCAAGAGGAGTGACAATAATTTAATGGATAAAGCAAACGCATTGGATTGTGACTGACGGTAACAACAACAAAATGACAAGAGATAACCTATTGGATTGTCACACTCTTATACTTAAATGTTTCTACCCGAAATCTTCATAATACAATATGCAAAGTTGTATTGAACAAAATAGAAAATAATTAAAATTTTCATCATTTGCAATGGTGGCGAAGACTCAATATTTTTCGGCTTGGAATATGATGGAATAAAGCAAAATGACTTACTAAACTGTTTGCGCTTCTTTGTTATGAAACAGCAGTCGGTCCATGCAATCTTTGATGCAATTTTCACTACGGGTAATCCGAAAACAATCTCTATGTGCTTTAGTACAGGGTAAGACTGCGTACATCTGATCCCCTTTACCCCACCGAAGGTGCGGGAGCGGGACTGGGGTAATGATGATGATGATGAGAAAAATAATTAGAATATAGTTTTTTGTTATGTTTTTTTTGTATATCCAGTTGAAGCAATTCATAATCTTGGGTAACATACCCGTAATAGTACAAATTATTAAAGCCAACATGAAGGTGTGACATGAAACATATACCAAGGGTTTGTTAATAACAATGCTAAACTCGTGCTTCATAATAAAATGAAATGCAAGAAACAAAAATTAGTATATAAAAAGACACATCTCATTCACCCGTTGGCCATGAGGACCAACTTAACCTTGATTCACCTGGAAGTTTTTTTGGATGCCAAAAATAATCATCTTTCATTCAACTCTGTTTCATTCTAGTAATATGTTGCAATTTTTCACTCGCTGCATCTTAGTGTTGTCAAATTATAACGAGAAATCAGAAAGTTGCATTTAGTTCAAAAAGTTCAACATATTTCAAAATAGCACACATGCGTTTTGCATAGGAAATGACCTCCCTTTTTTAATCTAAACCTCTATACAAAAGAGTTGTTGAGGTTTAACCCCGTAGATCCGAAATCCCTACACACGCTTTGAATATTAAGGACGTGATAAATAGGTCGATGGTCAAAGAAAATATAAAAGCTGGATATATCGTACTCAAAAGCCCACTTGTATTAAATAATTTGCTGGTTACACAGAAAACTAGCCGAACGGCACGTCGGAATAGAGATTAATACAAGAACATAGTGAGAAAGCTATTCTAGGCTTGGAGTATCAAAATGCTAACCCGTTACAATGTAATTAATGTCCCTATTTATACTAAAAAGGGGTAGGTGGGGTGATGACGTGGCTGAATCCGTATGGCTACTATTTCCTGCCACTTGGATGCCCATGCTCTTACTTAATGTTGCCATACTGTAGCATTAAATGCACCTTGACACTTGTCGACTTCCCGTTTCCCGTTCGGGATACAAGGGATGAACTATTGTGGGCCCCCAGTTCCCGTTCGGAACATTGTTTCTTCATGGGCCTGTCGCCCTGCTAGGGCCTTCAAATGATCTTTGGGTCGGGTGTTGGGCCTTCAGCCCAATAACCCAACAAGAGTGTATTTCTTTAGAGGTTGAAATAACAACATAAAGTGAACTTTCAATAGTAATACTAAAACAATGATGGTTTTACCAAGAATCCAGCATTAAATTTATTTAATCACAGATATACCTCGATTCAATTAAGTAGAAATCCATAATGAGTTAATTAGCTCAATAGTAACAAATAAGTAAATATATTTTGGTTTGATACTTCTCATATGAATAAAAGACCGACGTAGTAACAACATTACTAACTAAACAAAAAGACTAAGAATAAAGAGTGTTTTTTCACTCTTTAGTTCACGTCACTATTCCATCCTGATCCCACTGCTTATTGACATTCTGAAAAAAACATTATAAGGGTAGTTTGCAGTCATTAAAGAATGAGTAGATTCAAATACAAAATAAGATGAGTAGAAGAGTAAACCACATAGATTATATGTACTTATAATAGCCCAAGGCTTAAAATTCTAGGGTTTCAACGGATAGTTGGGAGGAATTTTAAAATAAAATATAGATCACAAAGAAAATACTAACCAATAATTGTGAGCTTCGTTGAGATGGACTGCCCGAATATATTTGTAAAAGATAGAATAAGTGGAAATAGAATACTAAACAAGTAGAAGGAGAGGCCAAACATCACAATTCCTGGAAAATAAAAAGGAGATCTTGAAGCAATACTAAAGGAGCTTGAAGAATTGATAGCTTTTTAGTACACACCTTAGATAAGACCAAGATCATTTATTGAATATAATGATGGTTTTACCAAGAATCCAACATCAATTCATAAATATACCTCGTTTGAATTAAGTAGAAATCTATAATGAGTTAATTAGTAAGAGGAATGAACTAACCTTGACAGTGAGAAGAGTATCGACCTTCAGATTAAATAGAACTAGGTGACATTGAAGGTGGCTAAAGGGTGTGGGAATTTCAAAGCCAAAGCATGCGGGATTATCCTGGAAAGGTGAAGATTGAAGAAGGTGTAGAAAAATTACAGATGCCCTAGAAAGTAGAAATCATATGCGTTTAATAAAGAGTTTAAATTTATGTAAATGTCTTAGCAGTTGAGCGGGAAATAGACTTAATTGACTTAATAGTATATAGATATAGATAGATTAAGTATTGATTTAGTCCTATTTAGGTCAAATTTTAATTTGAGTTTGATAGATTAATGAGGTGTCCTACTTTAAGATTCTAATGGATCTTAAGGGATCACATTATATCTCACAGATGACTTGGGTGACGATTTTGGAGGTGAAATGTATGTCCAGGACCACGACAGAGAAATGTATATCTAGAGGGAGCTTCGCCATTTGGCTTTGATCCATAATTTTTTGAAGATTATGCTACTATAATTACAAATCCTCTTATATAGGGAATCCATCCTTCAGTCCGTTAGTATTACAATGCTACTTATGTTACTGTGAAATAATGGGAAATGATGCTCCAAAAGGAGCCCTAGTACATATATTTTTAATAGAAGAGTTGCCAAAATACAAAGTTCTTAAATAGATATTAGGCATATTCCTAAATAGATATTATGCTATTACATCCCCTCAAACTGTGCGGGAGATATAGCGCACATGTTGTCTTTAAAAAAATGAAATTGTCCACTAGAAAGACTCTTAGTAAATATATCCTTCAGTCGAAGACTAGGATTGGAGGCAAGTAGTTGAAAATAAGATCTCCATGAGAAAGTAGGTTATTTCTTGGATTTCCAAGAAACCAGATCAGGACTAAGAAATATAGCAACCCCTGACATAGATCTACACCCAGATGTCCAATGTATGTCGGAGTAGGCTACTATTATTGTCCATGGTTTGGAGAACCCTGAAGATACCTTGAGCAAGAGCAGCGAACAAAGTGGGTAGCGGAGAGGATCTGAGTCAACAGCTAACTGGCCCAACAAAAGACGATGGGATCATGCCAGGGTCGCCGGAGAGAGTGGGACCGACGTAGCGCTCTGAAACAACTGTGCGAGCGACCGAACTGGACTCGGGTAGAGAGTGGAATCATGCAGCAGCGGGCGGTGAACGCAACGACAAGCTGGAAGCAAGCACCGTGGTCAGCGACGCAGAGAAGGTGGGTTGCGCGGACGTAGGCAGCAGCCTACGGCGAACTCGATCAACGTCACGCTGGAAGCAAGCACCGTGGTCAGCGACGCGAAGAAGGGTTTGTGCCGTATCAGCCGCACTCATCCTCAAAGGATCGAAGACTGCCGTAGATATGGCGGCAGTCGACCCTGAGGCGGCGGCTGTACTAGAGTTCATGGGAACCGAAAAAAAAGAAAGAAAAAAATTGTGTCTTAAAACCTAGAGCTCTTGATATCATGTGAAATAATGAAAAAGTATGTTCCAATAGGAGCCCTAGTAGATATATTTATAATAGAAGAGTTGTCAAAATACAAAGTATTCCTAAATATATATTAGACATATTCCTAAATAGATATTAGGCTATTAGTGACTTCCATCCCCATTGAGTTGTGTCATTCAAAACTCGATGTTCGGTCTTCCTAGTATATCTGATTGAATCCAAATTTCTTCTTTAACTGTTCAGTTGATGGGAAATTACATCCATAACAAATCAAATTAAATCCGTTTGTAAAGAATATATTTCACATTTGATTTATCGAATTGAGTTTTATGTTATACACAGGAGCGGACCTATAGTATATTGAGGGTTAGCACAGACTACATCTCAAAAGTTGTTATTAGCCTAAGTGGTAGAAGCTAGAATTTGATTTAAAGGATCTTGGATGGTGCATGTGCCGCGTTCGATTCCCTTAATTCTTACATTGTAGGCTCAGTTAAGCTCAAATATTTGAATTTAATTTAATTTTGAATCCCTCCAAGTCCAGCAGAGCATTGAGCCTCCCACCCCGGCCTCTTGCTTTGTCATCCACCGAATTTCAACCTTTTAAGCTATTTTTAAGTAATTGGGCACGAGTCGTCTTTTTTTCTCTACATCAGTATTTTTTTAGCAAATTTGCATGTGTTTTTCTCCACATTATTTTTCTCCCTATTGAATCACGAAATGAATACAAATCATTTATGGATTTTTTAATTTCATTTTTTACTACTATGATCCATCATTTAGATATCTTTTTGTATTGTTTATACATCTTGATGTACAAAGTATAATGTTTTTGTACATATACTTTTATAATATAATCATTTTTATATTATAAATAATTTCTTATAAAAATATATAGAAGGTCAAAGCTTAACTTCATTATATTAACCAAAAGATTCAAATATGGTAAAGTTTTAAGAGATGGAGGAGGAAAAGTCTTAGTGTAATAATAATGAAGTTGGGTCGTGTTGTCACGGTAGTGCAATGTCATAATTTTTTTAAACCGCTACGTACTGTATATATGTGCATACCTTAAGCTCTGATGTCTGGGTCCGCCACTGATTATACATAAATAAAAAACGTGCTAAAATAAATATGCATTGGTATGACATTATTGTACAATGAACGTACAAAATGTATCAAATGAGCACACTAATTTATGAATCGGATATATTACAATAAAAAATATATAAATTGTTACTGATGTTGATTGTACGGTATGGACCAACAAACACATTGGTAATGTTGATTGTAGTAGTTCATGAAGAGGATGCCACTTATAGTAATTATGGTTAATGGTTTAATTAACCTCTAGCAATTTTATTTACAACTTAAAATTCCTTGATTAAATAATGAAGTGATACATATGTATATGTGTATATATTATGTGTCAGTACATATATACATACATACATAAGGTTATAACAAATTTCTTTATATATGCCACTTCATTTGGAATGACTGAATCAACATCTAGTGCTTCCATCATATATGTAGTCAAGAATGGCAATCACTCCAATAACAAATGCCTGATCCACCCCTGCCTTTATGATCACATTGTACACATCCTTGCTTTTAACCTCTATTCCTTTTCTCAATTCCACCTGCAAACCATCCATATATATATGTAATTAATTTTCAATAAAACGTTTTCATTTAAGCATTTTCCAATGGAGAAGTATATAAAGCGATATATAAAAAATTTATGATATGATTTCATGGCAGCCAAAAAAAGAATACCAAAACTGTGACAATAAGATGTAAAATCACTTTTTTATTTGAAATAATTACTCCCATACGCCAATGACTTATTAATTGCTGTAAGAAGATCATCCTTGAATAAAAATGAGTAACCCCTAAAAATGAGTAACCCCTAAAAATGAGAAGTAGCTCAGATTTTAATATAGTGTTTAATTCTTTTAGAGATATCCGATGTGAAACTTTAACATAATCTAACTCACTTTTGCAATTGTGTTGCCGAGAGAATCAAGGATGGTGCAATCTCTATCCGGGAAGTCTCCGGCAACGGTGAAATTCCGGTGATTATTACCATAATCTCTTGATTCAATAGAAATCTTAATAGGAATGTTGTTGAAGATACACGAGTTTGGCTCTTTTAAGGTAAAAACCAGCTTCCGAGATCCTTCAAACGTTGTTGTATAGCCTTTCCATTTTCTCGCCATGCTTAGCACTTCCACTATCTCTCCCTATGTACGTAATAATAAAAGCATCCAGCCAGCCATGCACAAATCAGTTAATCAAATAATACTCCATTCATTTGCTCTTACATAAGTTTGTCAACCTTTGATGGTTCCAAATAACAGGATTGACATAGACTTTTGGCTGGATTAGTCGTATTCGTGTCAAAAAGAACATTTTATCACGAGCTATTTGGCACGAATCACCCTGTCAAGTTCGTGTCTATTTGTATAATTTTTATTTTATTATTTCCCGTGACAAAATAATAAGAACGAGGAAATCAATTAACAACTAGACTCAGACTATTGGTCTATCCAAATTAAGAATGAAAATAAAAAATATAAACTAGCACATACATATTTGGGCTATACGACGTTACTTTTTTTTTTTATATTGATCTTTTGGATAAATTTAAAATTTTCATATTTCGTATGATAAAGAACTAATGAATTAATCTATTACGAGCTGGCAAACAAATTGGGTTTACCTTTTTTCTAATGAGAAGCAAAGGAGTGTCGAAGTTGTCTCTAAGAATCAGCTCATCCTTCTTCCCAATAACTCCGCATCCTTCGGCGCTGAAAAGAGGGGTCTGGTCAACGTCGGTGACCACAAAGCCTCCGCCGTTGGCGGCGTGCGGGCGTTGCCGGACGACGAGGACCTTCTCGGAAGCTGAGCAATAGACTTTGCTCACTACGGAGATGACTTTGGTGGTCGTATTGCTTGTCGATTTGGAACCCATTGTTTCCAGATCAGATTCTTTGTCACAATTCAATGTTTGGATAATTATATTCCCGTACGTTCAAACAGGCATCATTTTAACGTTCACTAATGCTCTATTTATACGCGAAAGTGGCGGTCTGAAAGTCAAATGTTTGGCAAGTTTGATAAGTAAAGTACTCTTGCTTTGTTGGACACAGCTATCTCATTTCTTCTTTTGACATATGCAAGATTCGTTAACACCCACGCAATTTATAACGTATATTACTGCGTATAGGTATAGAGGGTCTTTATTTCTGAAGTGAGTGTAGTGTCATTGGTTCCACACCTTACACCTCTCATGATTATGTGAATCATTACTAATTTACTACACATAATCCAGGTGTCGGGGCTTACACTTCCATGATCTTGGAATCTATGAACTACCCTCCAAAGCTCATAGACAGGTGAATCTGGAGTTGATCACAGTCACGTACCCTCATCGTTATTGGTTCCAAAAAGCGAATCCAGCAGAATTTACAATCATGGGGAGCAAGGTTTGGGGGTGGATGGTCATCCATTGGACTACACCCATTTATTTAGTGGGTTTTGTGGCAAATGATGATTTTTATTCTCAGAAATTAGTTTTTGCGAGAACTACTCTCTAGCTAAGAACATGAATGTGTTGACCAATCAATGTGGCTCTAGGGAAAGCTTTATTGAGAACCCGCTATGGACATATTTAATGAGATTAGATTCTACTGTACCCATAAGATATCATACATTTGTCCATATGGACCAATGAGAATGTTGTAATTGAATTATTTAAATCTAAATTAAAAATGACATAATGATGGATCAATCAAGTGAATGGTAGGTACGATACTCCATTTTTTAAATGAGTACCGGAGTTGTCACCTTTAATGAGTTGATAGTGTTGGAATAAATCCGATAATACTTTAATCTTCATATTGAAATTATCTGGAGAATTAACTGAGCGGAAGCGTACCTGACTCCATGGGAGATGGCCTTTAGAGATCCGGGAGACGGAGGCTAGGGTTTGTGTCTTCTAGTTGATACACACCCTCGGGATTATCTCTCTAGCGATGGGATGCAGAAAGACAGAATGGCGTGTACAACTAGGGACCATAACCCCTTATTTATAGAGTGCTTAACCCTAATCAGCCCATCATTGATTAGGTCAAGCCCATGGGTCTCTACACATTTGGGCCATATACCTTATTAGATAACTTATTAGCCCACTTAAATTAATATTCATAGGACCACTAATTTTTGGGCCTAAATATAAGATAGCATATAACATACAATTAAACCCGATAAATAATATATTGTGAATATTACATGTAGTCTAAGTCCAATAATCTAACAATCTCCCACTTGGACGACATACACATGAATACACAATCCTTAGAATTGTATGTTTACTTTAGGAGCTCCAAATTTTTGCTATCAAACTGTAGTCATCCTTAATCAATCCGGTCCATTAATTATATCAACATAGGACCAAAGAAGTCTTTGCTATATTTGAATAACTAGACTCATCGATGATCACATATATTAATATAATAAACGACATGGATCAAGTATAGGTGTGTAGCGTGGAAATAACATATAGTGTGGTCTGGAATGGAATGTCTATTTCCAACTGGTCCACCCTGAGATCAATAATATAACTGTAAGAGTACATAAAACTTTAAACTTTATTTCTGCAGAAAATAACATTAAAACTTGAGTTAACCAAACATAGAAACATTACAAACTCCCACTAAAACTCATAATCCTCAACTGATTTGACACCCATTTGAGCAACATGCTCATGAAACAATTTGGGTGGTAATCCTTTAGTGAGCGGATCCGCAATCATGGAGTTTGTGCTAATGTGCTCTATAGATAACTTTCCTTCTTGTACTCGTTCCTTAACAGCCTTAAATTTGACCCCAATGTGTTTTGCCTTGGTCAAACTACTGTTATTCTTAGCATAGAGGACTGCTGATCTATTGTCACACAATAGCTTGAGTGGTCTTTCAATGTTGTCCACTATGCGTAGTCCACTAATAAAATCTCGCAGCCATAATGCCTGATTGGATGCCTCATAACATGCTATAAACTCTGCTTCCATGGTGGAAGTAGCTGTAAGAGTCTGCTTGATACTCCTCCAGGAGATAGCTCCTCCAGCTAGAATATAGATGTAGCCTGAAGTGGATCTCAAGCTATCTTGACATCCAGCAAAATCAGAGTCGGTATACCCAATGATCTCAAGCTCATCCGATCTCCGATATGTGAGCATATATTCCTTTGTTCTCTATAAATACCGCATGACCCTTTTGGCTGCTTTCCAATGGTCCATTCCCGGATTGCTCAAATATCTGCCTAACATCCCAACAATGTATGCCAAATCAGGCCTTGTACAAACCTGGGCATACATCAAACTTCCTACAGCCGAAGCATAAGGAATGTTCCTCATTTCTTTAGATTCAAAACCATTCTTAGGGCACTGCATGAGACTAAACTTGTCTCCCTTAGAAACTGGGGTATCTCCTGGTTTGCAGTCTTGCATACCAAACCTTTTGAGAACCTTATCGATATAGCTCTTTTGTGAGAGTCCAAGAACGCCTTTGGAGCGATCTCGGTGAATTTGAATTCCTAATACAAAAGAAGCCTCACCAAGATCTTTCATTTCAAAATTCTTTGAAAGAAATCTCTTAGTTTCGTGTAATAAGCCTATATCGTTAGTAGCAAGCAGTATGTCATCAACATACAAGACCAGGAAAATATGCTTACTCCCACTGAACTTGTGATATATACAATCATCACTGACATTTGGTTGAAAACCAAAAGATATAATGATTTTATGAAACTTGTGATACCACTGACGAGAAGCCTGTTTGAGCCCATAGATGGATTTCTTTAATTTGCAAACCATTTTCTTTGAATCCCCCGAAACAAAGTTTTCTGGTTGCTCCATATAGATTGATTCCTCAATGTCACCATTGAGAAACGCAGTTTTTACATCCATCTGATGAAGCTCAAGATCAAAATGTGCCACTAATGCCATTATTGTTCTAAAAGAGTCTTTCGAGGATACCGGAGAGTCTTCAGGCAATGAGACTATCTCCCAAACGTCATTGTCACTCATAGACTTCATCTCATCTTTCATGGCATTAATCCATTCTTGAGAGTTAGAACTTTCCATGGCTTGACGGAAGTTGATTGGATCATCTTCCGCAAAACCAACATTTGATTCTTGTTCTTGGAGGAAGACAATTATTTCTTCCACCAATTCCCAATTTTCCTCATGTTCTAGGAGAAATACAATATAATCATCCGGAATTGCGCTTCTCCTCTCTCGAGTGGATCTCCTTAATGGCACCTCAGGTTCTTGAGGTTGTTGAGTTTGATCCTCATTAACAAAATCAGGTACTTGATTGGGGATGTTTTCGAGATTGTCATGAACTGGAGTTGTTTCTTGAACATCATTAGGAATAAACATATCTTGATCATGTTCAATGACAACTGAAGGAAGAGTAACATGTTCTTCCTCAAAGACAAAATCTCTAACCTTATCTCCCCACCCCCCAAACTCAATATCCTCAAAGAACCGGGCATTACCCGTCTCAAAAATAGTCCTGGTAGTGGGATCGTAAAATTTATACCCCCTTGACCTCTCAGAGTATCCTACAAAATAGCTACTAACTGTTCTTGAGTCCAGTTTCTTTTCATTTGGCCTATAAGGCCTTGCCTCAGCTGGACAACCCCAAACATGGAAATGATTTATACTGGGTTTCTTTCCAGTCCAAATTTCATAAGGGGTTTTAGTTGTAGCTTTAGTGGGAACTCTGTTAAGTATGTAAGCTGCAGTTTTCAGTGCCTCTCCCCAGAGTGAATCGGGTAAAGTAGTATGACAAATCATACTCCTAACCATGTGCTTCAATGTACGGTTTCGTCTCTCAGCAACACCATTCATGCTAGGAGTTCCTGGCATGGTGTACTGAGGAACAATTCCACACTCCTCTAGGTATTTAGCAAATGGCTCTGGACGTTGTTCACCGGAACCATCATATCTACCATAGTATTCACCACCACGGTCAGATCTAACGGTTTTTATTCTTTTGCCTAATTGATTTTCAACTTCGGCCTTATAAGATTTGAACACGTCTATTGATTGGGACTTTTCATGAATGAGATAAAGGTAACCATAACGAAAGTAATCATCTATGAATGTGATAAAATATGTTTGGCCATTTCTACATGGTGTAGGGAATGGTCCACAGATGTCCGTATATATCAATTCTAATAGATCTGAAGCTCTCTCGGCACCTAACCTCCGTTTGTTCGTTTGTTTTCCCTTAACGCACTCAACACAAATATCAGAATTTGAGGAGTCAAGAGAATCAAGAATTCCATCTGACACAAGTCTCTGAATTCTTTCTTTAGAAATATGTCCTAGACGCTTGTGCCAAAGTGAAAATGAATTCTCATTGGTTAATTTTCTTTTAGTACCACGAGTACTTACATGCAAGGTTTCATTATATGAGGTATTTATATCAAGTGAATATAGATTATCATAAACTGATAAAAGACCAGTACCAATAAGTTTTGAATCTTGAAATAGACTGAACTGACTATTTCCAAATGAACAAGAATAACCAAATTTGTCCAATGCAGAAATAGAAATTAAATTCCGCCTAAATCACGGCACAACAAATGTCTCTTTCAAATCCAAATAAAAACCAGTCTTTAATAATAATCTAAAAACACCGATAGCCTCAACTTCAACCCGCTTGCCATCACCGACATAGATGTATCTTTCACCATCAATTGGTTTTCGGCAGCTCAGGCAACCCCTTTTTCGCACGCCAAGCATGGTACTTAGTGCAGTTCTTTTTCTTGTGATTAGTCCCTTTGCAAAAGAAGCATCCAGATTCCTTAGTTTCTTCCTTAGTTTCCTTGTGATGCTTCCTGGGAGGCCCCGAATTTGCAGCTTCCTTAATTTTTCTTTTATTGCTGCCCTTAGAGGTAGATGCCAAATGAGCACTTTCTGTCTTATCTTGCTTTATTCTCTCTTCCTCTTGAACACAATGAGAAATGAGCTCATTGAGAGACCATTTCTCCTTAATGCAGTTGTAACTGACTTTAAATTGATTAAATTGAGAAGGAAGAGAGATCAAAACTAAATACACAAGCAATTCCTCAGGTAAAACAAGCTTTAGTGCACTTAGTTTTGAAGCAATATGAGACATTTCCAAAATGTACTCCCTTATGTTCCCTTTGCCTTTATACTTCATGGAAACAAGAGTGCTCAAAAGAGTACTAGTTTCCGCCTTTTCGTTTTTAGCAAAACGCTTTTCAAGTTCGGCAAGGAATGATTTGGCATCGGCCTCATCAGACATTGTGCCCCTGAATGATTCTGGAATTGCACGTTTCATGATCATTAGACTCATGCGGTTTGAGCGTTCCCACCTCTCCATCTCCCTCTTTTCATCGAGGGTAGATGTGTCCTTAAGAGCGGCGGGTTTCTCAGTCCGAAGTGCAAGGTCTAGATCCATGCAACCGAGAACGATCATAACATTCTCTTTCAATTCCTTAAAATTCGTGCCGTTAAGCACTAGGATGCTATTAATATTAGCAGATATTGTAGCAGCAGAATTGTTGACTGAAAGAGAACAAAAATAACAAAAATAATATAAATGATATGCTCTAGGAATTGAAATTAATTTTTATAATTAATTTTAAATTTAAATATTAGCAATCCCCATCACAAGATACCTAGCGCAACATCTAATCTTGTCTTTGGACATAAATTAGACTTGCAAGTGGTACTCTTGGTGTGATAATAAAATTTTGATAATAAAATCTTGTCAAATATTAAGCCTTTCTTTGGACCGACTTAATATTCACACGAAAAAACTTCATAATCATCACAAATTTTATTATCACAAATGTACTTAAATTTCGGCCAAATAATAACCTTCCTTTGGGCCGATTACTATCCGCATGAAATAAGAAAGTACACAATCATCTTAATATATGAGTTAATTAATTTCAACAAGAGAGACTACTTTGGCAGCATGTTGCGTCAATTAATCAACCCAAATATTAGACATGCTAATATTAAATCAACAATCTGAAAATAAAATTGGGCGAATTTTTTCTGAATCACATGCAAATGTGTTATGTGTAACGAAATTTGTAAAACCTGTACCCAATCTTTATGTGATCACAAATTTGGGTTTATACATCCATAACACATAATACATTTTTAAACTGTAAATCATGATCACCAATAAAAGTAATTTATTTCCAAATATGCAATTCTAATGGAACTGATTTTGCCCGTAATCACATATAAGTATTTAATTACCAAAATTATAGAAATTTCCACAATTGAATCGCCGAAAAAGGAAACGTATCAAAATATAATTTGATACACATACCTTAATTGATTCAAAAAATTAGAAACAAATCACATAATAAAAGTGATAAATGTATATTCACTAAATATTTATTGACGTTCCGTTTATTTCTGAACCATTGAATTCAAAAAAAAAATGATTCAATTATCTTACCAAATTAATCACAAGATAATTGGCAAAATCAAAAATAAAAATTCAACCTTAATATGGAGTAGTTGAAAACAAGAATTCCACCATGATCAAAATCAAAAGAATCTTAATTCTACTAGACATCAAACCTTGATCGCAATTCAATGACTTATCATATACATGTATCAAATTTCAATCGCAAATTGTAAAGTGATTAATATAAAAAAAAAACAATCGCAAATTTACTGTCGATCTAATAACTGCCGAAAGTACTTCTAAACAAAATTAGCCAAAATAATCGGCAAATTTCTCCTTATTCATCAACAATTAACTGTCGATCTTGATATCCAATAATCGGCAGATCAATTTATGTGATTATCAAAGCACCAATTGATTCATAATAGGAATACAGAAGATACAATCTGAAATATCACGATGAGTTTAATCGTATCGGCGAAAGAAAAAAAATAAAAAACTCAAGCACCGTCTCCGAAACTAGAAGACAGATTATGTGAAAAGAAATCCCAAAATTCCATATTGAAATAAATCCGATAATACTTTAATCTTCATAATGAAATTATCTGGAGAATTAACTGAGCGGAAGCGTACCTGACTCCATGGGAGATGGCCTTTAGAGATCCGGGAGACGGAGGCTAGGGTTTGTGTCTTCTAGTTGATACACACCCTCGGGATTATCTCTCTAGCGATGGGATGCAGAAAGACAGAATGACGTGTACAACTAGGGACCATAACCCCTTATTTATAGAGTGCTTAACCCTAATCAGCCCATCATTGATTAGGTCAAGCCCATGGGTCTCTACACATTTGGGCCCTATACCTTATTAGATAACTTATTAGCCCACTTAAATTAATATTCATAGGACCACTAATTTTTGGGCCTAAATATAAGATAGCATATAACATATAATTAAACCCGATAAATAATATATTGTGAATATTACATGTAGTCTAAGTCCAATAATCTAACGGACAGTGATTTCTTATATGTGGATGTATACACACATGCGGTAAACATGAAAGATTGTTAGTGATTCGTCATTTACTCTTCCAAGGGTAAACGTGAAATATGGGGTGTTCACAATTTGTCAGGGAAAGTCAGAATCATATATTTGCTACAGGATTAACACAAATTTGACATTAGTTGGTCGTTGGTCGATAATTTTGTGTCATATAGCTTGTGACAAGATTGAATTTTGATGAATCCATGCAAATAATTGTTTATGTGAACTCGAAAAAACGAAGAAAAATTAATTAAATAGCCAAAGAAAAAAGAAATAAGATGAAACAAAAATAAGCCAAAGTTTGTGCAACGCACAATGTCCTTAAAATGTATTTGTTGTCTCACACGGTACTAGGAGCGTTGCAACAATCATTTCCCAGGATATTGTGGCTAACGAACAATCGTTTGAGCACACAACCGACTGTTCCAGCGAACGGAAACCAAAGGCAGAACACTAATTAAGGAAGTTTTTTGGAAACTGGAGGCGTGTCTTTGCTTGAAAACGTAACAATGTGAGAACTGTGTATGAATGTGTATGTTCGTGTGTTGTTGCAAAGCACCTGCCAGCCAGGGGCGGATGTAAGCATTGGGTAATGGGGGCACATGCCCCCAATAAAATATAAATATGAAGCTAAATGTATATATATGAAAACTTTTTGTTTGTAGAAAAATAAGACTTGCCCCGATTAAAAAGTTTATGTTGCCCCCAACAAAAATAATTTTATACAAGAAGGATTATGATGATATTTATTGCTGTATATATATGCTTAACTTATTTGAATTATAAATGGTTGAAAGAAATGTTAATAGTACAACAAATAAATGAAAAAATTGTCAGTAGTTTAGTTAGTTTCCAAAATCGTAAATTTAAAATTTGATGATAGCAATTAAAATGAGTTTTTTGTTTAGTAATTAGTTTATTTGAATATGACTTGCATGCTATTTACATTATTATTTATAAATATCAGCTAATTCTTCTGGGAAGTTCTCCTAAATAGAAGTACATAAGTTTTGGAATTCTAAATGGAATGATTATGTTTTTCTTCAAAAATAGGAGTCGTTGCTGTCATTATTGAAAATACTGCTACGATTGGAAAATATTGTCATTAACGATATTACACAGTAGTAATTATTATCATGTTTAATGTCTAGTACAACAACTATTTGACAAACCACAAGATAACAGTAAATATTGTCACGTTAATCCTATTTCGGGAAGAAAAACATAGTAGTCATGTCTTGAAATTCCAAAATCCGTTTACTCCTATTTGAGGAACTTTCCTATTTTTTATTTTATAATTATTAAAAAAAACTCAGCATACCTAAGTTTATTTAATTAAGCACGTCAATATCAATTTATTGGATCTAATATTCTAATAAAATATTTTCATGGCATACAATATAATAAAACATTTTGAATAGAACTCAGATTATATTAGGGGTATGTTTGGCACAACTAGCTGAAAAGATATATTTATGAGCTTTTTAGTACGTAACTGCTAACTTTTAATGACTGAAAAGATCTTAAAAGAAAAAGGTGATAGCTGTTTGGTAAAAAACTGGCTGTTTGATTGAACTATGTTTGGTATACAAGCTGTTGAGACTAATTAATGCTAAAAGATACAAATTTTTTTCAGATGCTACTCACCGTAACATCTTTAAAAAGATCTTTTATTTCTATAGAAACTCTTATAAATTGTCATGCCAAATACGATAGTATATAACTAGAAGCTTTTAAAGACCTTTTAAATAATACAAAAGCTAGAAGATAGAGACTTATACCTACCAAACATGCACTAGATATAGTTTTTTCGTCAGCTTAAATTTTTGAAATTGCTCCCCCAATAGGTATTATTGCTGGATCCGCCACTGCTGCCAACTACTTAAAGGGAATGATTTGTTGTGTGTTAATGGCGTATTAAAGGACCTGAACGTTGGACATCAATGTCTGGAAAGTTGGGCATAGAACGTTGGGCATTGATTCGTCCAAAAAATGTCCATTTAATTGCATCCAGGTAGCAGAATGTTGGACATTTAATGCTGTAACGCTTCAGCAGCAAGCGGCAGCCTACTGCCGATCGTTCAACAGCTAAGCAGCAGCCTTCCAACGGGCTGATCCAAGAGCAAAAAATAGGAATGGTACGGGAAGAAACAAAAATTAAATCTTATCTTTAGAAGATAAATTTTCGGAGGTGTCCGCAGGTCGCCTGATTTTTCTTCTTTGTATTCGAGATTTGATCGGCACCCTCCTGCGTGCAAAGTGAGCCTTTCCACCTAGGAGTCTTAACTCCTTCAAAGAGGGTTCCCTTTATAATGGGGTGAAAATCCTTCGGGTTTTTGGATGTGGGAAATATCACATTAGAAACCCATCATCTTCATAGTTTTCTCCATTTCAACGAGTGAACTTCGAGAATCAATTTCTTATTCACCCGTTATCCGTTTTGAGTGTACCATATATCGAATTAAAGCCCTTAACAAGGGGATCCGAAACCACTTTGACCCGACCCAAATCGAAAGTGGGCTCCGCTCAAATTACTGCACGAAATTGACTATTGAATGCTTTTTTAACACATTTTCCAACAACAATCTCTACCGATCCCGTTATTTTGTTAGTCATGCATACAAATAGGGTAGAAGAATCTTGAAAATCAATTGTACATTCCTAGTAAGGGTTGCATCTTGTAGTTGTCTCTACGCACCAGGACTGCGTGTCACCAATTTGTTCACATTTGCATATATAATAAGCTGTTAAAAATACATTCAAGGGCATTAGTTGTGCGCTTGGTTAGGGTTAATATACATGTATAAAGTCCTTTTTATCTCATTTTGCAAACATTTGCATGACAAAAATCTTTCAGGTTTCACAGGCATTTGATATATTATCCAAAAAGATAAGTTCTCTATTTTGTTCCTTCAACATATTCTTACGACTCCTATCTTACTATATACTACTACGTATATTACTATGCCGCTGACTATGCCCGCCGCCCTGCCTCATTCCTTATATAGTT